ACAACTATATTCTAGGACAGAACTATGGACCTTTTCTTTTTTTCTTTTTTGAGACAGACTCTCACTCTGATGCCCAGGCTAGAATACAGAGTGGCCAGATCTCAGCTAACTGCAACCTCCACCTCCTGGGCTGAAGTGATTCCCCTGCCTCAGCCTTCTGAGTAGCTGGGATGACAGGTGCCACCACCATGCCCGGCTAATTTTTCTATTTTTGGTAGAGACAGGGTTTCACCATGTTGGCCAGACTGGTCTCGAACTCCTGACCTCAAGTGATCTGCCCACCTCAGCCTCCCAAAGTGCTGGGATTACAGGCATGAGTCCCCATGCACGGCTTGGACCATTTCTTGAAATTGGCTGTAACAAGATCGGACTCATCTGTATGTCATGGGGGCAGGTATAGACGTGTGTGCATGTGCGCGTGTGTGTGCATGACCAAGGATAACAGCACGGCATGGTTGACAGTTCTACAGATCATTCCTTAATTCCCACCATATCTCTATCCCCAAGCTTCCCACCCACTTCAAACCTCCCCGTCTACATCTTCCTCCACTTTTCAAAGATGACCTCATCTCCCACATTACTAAAAATTCAGGCTATTAGGCAAATTCCTTCAACTGCCCAACCACATGCCCACCCCCTCCATATATCTCAGTCTCTTCATCCTTCTTTTGATCAGCTCCCTCCCCAAGTTCTCCTGTCCCTCAGGCTCACATTCTGAAAAGAACATTCTAGGCCCTTCATAATGTGGCCTCAGCCCTAATCCTACGACCTCTGCTCCACTCTTCACTGGCTGAACGCCACATTGTAATCAGCAAGACTTCACTGTTCACCTCCATGCTTTATGCTTTCCCACCCCTGCACCTCTGCTGAGCCCAGCATGTTAATCAGTAATGACTTCCTCCAACTTCCACCTCCTCCAATTCCCTCCATCTCTAAGAGGCTGGGTCAGGGGCCACCTGCTTCAGAAAGCCTCCATCTGCCCAAGGCAACCTCTCTCCTCTGCAAGCTCCTTGGGCACTATGTGATCATGTATTACCACGATGAGTGAACCTCCCTGGACCGCCAAGACTAGAATGAGGTCATCCCCATCCCTGGCTACACCCAAGTGTCTGGCATTGTCCTCCTTCACTAAATACCAACTGCACAGACCAGCAGGAGACAGAAGGAATGAAGGAAAAGGTGCTGATGCAAAGAATCACCAGCCATGAGAGACTGCAGAGCATCAGAGAACTCGTAACCCCGATGAGGAGGTGGAAGGATGGATTTGTGGTTGTAAAGAACTGTGCCACGTCCTCCAACATGGAACCAAGGGCTAAGGTGCCCAGGGTGGTCAACAGCCTCGTGGCTGAGGCCTGTGCTTGCCCATTCAGGGTGCAGAGATGTCAGCCTGGGTTCCTTCAACAGCATGAACCATGCCCAAGAGTAAGTCTCGACCTCCTGGAGGGATCCCTCCACAGGGAAGGACCTGGTCTTCATACCCATTTCTGACTTGCAAGCTCAGGCGCCATCTGCTGGCCAAGGTCAGCATTGCATCTGGACCCACGGCCCCAAGGGCAGTCAAGGGGACCAAGGTGGGGACCAAGGCTGCGACCAGCCCTGACCCAGTCCAGACCCAGGCCGCTTTTGGGGAGGCAGAAATGACCCCATCTCCCAGAAGTTGGGCTCCTGATGGCTTCCTGGAACCTGTCTTTCAGGATATAAGCCTAATACCAAATAGAGGAAAAAAGTAAGTTTTTTTCTGGTAATACTAGCTGAGAAACTTCCAAGACATGCACACAGACACACACACACAACTCCTTTTTTTCCTGCCAAACAGAAGCTGTTATTTAGGGGACAAATCACCAGCCTGGGAATCAGAGGACGTGAGGTCTCATCCCGTTGCTTGTCACTGGCCTTCCCTCAGCAATGTGGCCCCCAGCACACTCCCTGCCTGGGCCAGTGCTAGGCAAGGATGGCGCCCTTCATGTGCCGCTGATGTGCAGTGATCAGATGAACTAATGGTGCCACTGATGTGCAGAAATTCTGAATGATCCAGAAATGAACGTGAACCGTAGGGTCCAGTAGTCCTGCAGTCTCAATCTTACCCCCATACCCATGCTGGGAACACCCCACAGGGCCGGGCCCCACCTGCCTGGGACAGGGACAGGTCTGAGGACATAGTGACCTCTAACGCTGCTGTTGTTGGGAAGGGTCCTCACAGGCATATAGAACCAACAGACTCAGGCCAGGCTGGGACGCACCATCCAAGCGCCTCCCTCGCTGCACCGCCCCTCTCTAAAGTCTGAGTTTCAGGAGCACTTACGGAATCTTTGAGCTCAAGGTAACCTCAAGCCTATCCTAGCACTGAGAAGGTGGTGAGGCATGACTGACAGCTTTTTTTTTTTTTTTTTTTTGAGATGGAGTCTTGCTTTTGTTGCCCAGGCTGGAGTGCAGTGGCACGATCTCTGCTCACTGCAACCTCCGCCTCCTGGGTTCAAGTGATTCTCCTGCCTCAGCCTCCCGAGTAGCTGTGATTACAGGCACCTGCCACCATGCCTGGCTAATTTTGTATTTTTAGCAGAGACAGTGTTTCACCATATTGGGCCAGGCTAGTCTTGAACTCCTGACTTCAGGTGATCGGCCTGCCTCGGCCTCCCAAAGTGCTGGGATTACAGGCATGAGCCACTGCACCCAGCCAACAGCCTCTTTTAAGCCAGGGCTGAAATGGAGCTTTCTACAGAAGGTCTTGGGACTGGCATGGAGCTGAGGATGAGTGGGGCCCACTCAAGCATCCTGGGGGCGAGACTACTCCCTGAAAAGTGTCATGGGAGGGGCTGGAGGCGGGTGGAAATGCCAAGTGAGTGACATTCCCCCCGCCCTCACACCCCCACACGCACCCAACCTTCTTCCCACATGGCCTGGTTCCCCTCCCTCCACCCACACACTGGGAAAGTATGTCACCAGGAAACAAATGCCATCTTCTCAGGGGAAGGAGGGGGAAGAGGGCAGGGAAGACTGATCGTGTGCCTGTGGGGGCCTGGTAAGAACCCAGAGGTCCCAGAAGAAGCTCCCCAGCTGTGAAGGATGCCCCTCAGAACCGTAACTTGGACAGTAGCCCATTTTCTCAGGGGGCTAAAGAAGCATTGTGGGGCAGGAGCCACAGGGCCACTGTGCTCAGGGCTAATCAGCAGCGGGTAGAGGGGACTGGAAAAGATGCCCTGAGGAGCAGGTGACATCCTCCAATCCCAGACATCCTTTAGCCAGCTGAGTGGGCCATCATGACTGCTGACATCCAAACTTCCCTTGCTCCACCCTGGCTTGGGGACAGTCACTGGCCTGCCCTTGTCCTACTCCCTCCCCAGCTCTCCAGACAAGTCGGCCTCCGAGGGTTAACCTACTGCCTCCCCCTCCAGCTTCCACCCCCAGGGAGCTACCACACACCAGCAATGATGCACTTCACACTATTATTACCGTGATTTATTTAGTTTTAATTTGGGGGTGAATCTCGTGCTGCTAGATGCTGCGGGCCAAGAGTCTTGGCAAGAGGCAAAGCCACGCGTGGGCCGGCACCATGCCAATTCCGTCCTCCCCTCTGCCTGGGGTCCCTCTCTCCTGACCCTCCTCCTCCCAGTTTGCAGCCTGCTCCCCGACTCCAGCCACAGATCGGGTTTACCTTTCACTCAATGTCTCTCCATTTGGAGGAAATGTTCCTCATGGCAGAGGACTCGTAGAGGTTTCTATGCTCACCTCCTGTGTGATCCAAGCCCCACTCCAGACCAGGCTATCCCTGAGAAGTGGGACACCTTTGGATGGAGGCTGGGTACCTGGGGCCAGCTCCACACTAAGGACCAACAATCAGGGCCAGATCCCTGTAAAGATGGAACCACTGGTCTTTATCAAACCTCTGCCCTGCTCTCCCAGCCCTGCAGCAAGTAGCCTAAGGATGCTACTTCTAGTTCATCCATTGGCTCTTTAAGCAAACCCTGGGCACCTGCTAGGTACAGTTCCAGAGTTGCACAAACAGGGTAAAAGGACTGTGGTGGTCTTCATCCTCAAAGACTATGACTTGCAAGGAAACCCTTAGACACAACTAATCAAGCCGCAAGTTGCACAAGTATAGGGAGCAAAGGTCTGCAGAGCCCAAAGGAGAGATAAGATCAGTCAAGGGAGGGTCACAGAAGACTTCCTAGAAGAGCTGGGATTTGGACAGGAAACCCAGCACTTAGCACCCTGCCTGCCATTTGCCAGCTGGGTGGACAGATGGGCAGATGGTCTGAAGTCACCTGACAAGTAGAGAATAAAGACAAGACAGCAGGCAGATGGTAGACCATGGCACAAGCACTGAGGACTAAGAGAACGCAGCGAGTTTGAGACAGGTAGCACAATGGGACCGGAGCACGGGGAAAGAACGATCATAGGACACCATTACTATCCAAATCATAGCTAATATTCGATGGCCCCTTCTCTACATCAGGTACTATACTAAGCACCTTCTATTCATCATCCCATCTAATCCACACAGCAACCTTAAGCGGTGAGCACCATGGTTACCCCCATTTTACAGACAAGGAAAAGTGAGGTGCCAAGATCAATCATTTGTGCAAGGCCCAAGCTCTTGGCTCCAGAGACTAAACCACAATGCCACTCTGCCCCACCAAACTTATAGACAGGTATGTTGAAACAGGATGGGATCAACCTTGAAAGCCCTGCTGAGGATAAAGCTTCAATAAGGCATTAAACCTTCAGTAAGTGACAGATATCATTAGGTTGAACCATATGAATCATATATAGGTTTCAGGTCAGTAACAGTCTCATATGAACTATTTCATATGGTTGAACTGGTATGTTTCACTAGGGCAACTGAGACGCCTTCCGAACTCTTTGATTTCAGCAGCGAGAGTGGCTGTAACACTTGGTTTTGTCACTGGTGGATCCCTAGCACCCTGGCCGAGACTGCAAGAATTCAGCCAGGGCCTTTTCTGAAGCATCCCAACCCAGGCCCATCCCCCCTGCAACAGTACCTCCTTGCCCAGATCCTCTCGGATGACCTGGCGGACCTCTTGCATGCTGCTCTGTGGTGCCTGGCTGTGCAGTACCTTCAGCGTGCTGGTGTACTCTTCTGGCAGCAAGTAGTCCAGAGCCCCCAGGTGCTGGCCCACCTTGATGAAGGTGCCCCGGTTGGCACAGCAGAGCTCACAGAGACGCCTGGCAGAGCGCAGGTGCACCTGCAGGAAGACAAGCCAGGGCCAGAGAGGTGTGAGTGCAGACTGTTCCTAGATCTTGTTCCCTTCTCCCGCCCACTCTGCATGAAAACCCTCATTACCCAACAATGTCCAGGGCAGGTACATGTATGCACACACACGCGCGCACACACACACACACGCCCCTTCTCCCTTGCTGTCCAGCTTTCTGATACACAGGGCAGTCAACTCCAACCCCATACAGAAGCAGCCTTCACACACAGCCCAGTGCTCCCTATCTCCTCCTCTCCATCAAAACTTACCTGGTCTGGGTCCCACTCCCTGGAAGTAAGCATTCAAGGCTCTTAACCAAGTCTAACCTACTAATGATTCATTCAAGGGACACCGAGTTAAAGTATTTGCCAGCCACCCCTCAGACATACTAATTATGTTTTGTTTGTTTGGGCCTCTATGTTTTATTTCTTCTTTTTTTTTCGGAGACAGGGTCTCACTATGTTGCTGAAGCTGGAGTGCAGTGGCTATTCACAGGCGCAATCCCACTACTAATCAGCACAATAGTTTTGACCTGCTCTGTTTCTGACCTGGGCCAATTTACCCCTCCTTAGGCAACCTGGTGATCCCCCTTTGGCAGGGGTCTCCTATTAACTGGAGGAGTCACTGTACTGGGGGGTATGGGGCACACAGAGAAGGCATCTGGGCAGGTTGACCAGGACAGAGCAGCCTAAATTCATATCTGGATGCTCACCAGTCCTTCCAGAGTTGGGAGGTGGCCTCATCTGCCCCTAGCCTGAATATCCATACTCATCCCCCAACCCAGCTGAGGGCCTTGGCACTGTGAAGGTCCTGCCTTCCAAGAGCTAAGCCTCTGAGGCAGCACAGGCACATGCAGAAGACAAGGGACCCCAGTACCCTGTGGGGACCTGGTACCAGCCTTCTACCAACTTAGTCAACCAAGAGAGTGAACCACAAGGATGGCCTTACACTCTTAAGTGCCACGTAGGACACTGATGTAATTAACACATATGGGGGCCATAAAATCATGTGAGGAGTTAAATAACAGTTGACAACAAAGGTGGAAGAAGCATTCAAAGATCCTGTATAATTAGTTACCAAGTGAACCACACATGAAACCGTTACTTTAGAAATTAAGAAGAGGGTTTTTTGTTTTGTTTTCTTGCTGGTTTTTTTAGCTCCCACATATAAGAGAGAAGATGGGATACTGGAGGTAGTGAGTGGAAAAACAGATAAGAGACTGGGAAGGAGGGGTGGCGGGGAGGGGGAGGATGAAGAGAAGTGGATTAAAGGGTACAAACATAAAGTAAACTTGAAGGGATAAAGTCAGTGTTTGATAGCAAGGGAGAATGACTGTATTTAGAAAACTGTATTGTAAGCCGGGCACAGTGGCTCACACCTGTAATCCTAGCACTTTGGGAGGCCGAGGCAGGAAGATCACAAGGTCAGGAGTTCAAGACCAGTCTGGCCAGCAGGGTGAAAACCTATCTCTACTAAAAATACGAAAATTAGCCAGGCGTGGTGGTACATGCCTGTAATCCCAGCTACTGGGGAGGCTGAGGCAAGAGAATCACTTGAACCCAGGAGGCAGAGGTTCAAGTGATTCTCCCATCCACCCACCTCCCACCACAGCAGAGGGGATGCTTCAGACTCCAGGCACTAGCAGGTCAGCCATCCTTAAGCCCGCAGGGGCCTGTCCACTTCAAGGTCTGCTAGACAATTTTTTTTTATTTATTTTATTTATTTATTTTTTTTGAGACAGAATCTCACTCTGTCACCCAGGCTAGAGTGCAGTGGCCCAATCTCGGCTCACTGAAACTTTTGTCTCCAAGATACAAGCAATTCTCCTGAGTAACAAATAACAGGCTTGCACCAGCATGCCCGGCTAATTTTTATGTTTTTAGTACAAATGAGTTTTCACTATATTGGCCAGGATGGTCTTGACCTCCTGATCTCAAGTAATCCACCCGTCTCAGCCTCTCAAAGTGCTGGGATTAAAGGTGTGAGCCGCTGTGCCCGGCCAAGGTTATGTTTTTCTTTTTTTCTTTAAACCGAGTTTTAATCTGCCTCATATTAATTAAAAGCATTGTTATAGCCTTGGTTTGGGGTTTGAGAGGGGGGTAATGAATAGCTAATAGCTAATAAGATCCACTTAGTGTTGATTAGTTACTGATTAGGCCAGGTGGAGTCAAGACCCAAGGAAGGCAACCCTTTACCCACATCTAAAGCCCCAAGAGCAGGAGTTCCAGACCCAAAGCTAGGCAGAAAGGTATCAATGTCAGACTGAATGCTGGCTCCCCATCAGAACCAGGCAATATCTCCAACGAGGGTTAGAGGCATGTGAGTGACAGAGAGGAAAGAGATCATCAGACTGACATACATACACACCCCACACACAGAGAGAAGGGCAGACATGGAAAGAGAAGGCGACAGATCCCAAGCTGACATTTAATTAATTCTTCTAGTCAGAAATTTAAGCCCTAAAGGAATGAAATGTTAACAGTGGTATCTCTGGACTGTGAAATTATAAGGGTATTTCTTTCCCTCTATATAGGTTTTTCTGTATTTTCCAAATTTCTTTTCCTTGGAGACAGAGTCTCGCTCCGTCGCCCAGGCTGGAGTGCAGTGGCACGATCTTGGCTCACTGTAGCCTCTGCCTCCCGGGTTCAAGCAATTCTCCTGACTCAGCCTCCTGAGTAGCTGGGATTACGGGGGCTTGCCACCATGCCCGGCTAATTTTTATATTTTTAGTAGAGACAGGGTTTCATCATGTTGCCCAGGTTGGTCTCAAACCCCTGAGCTCAAGTAATCCACCCAGGTTGGCCTCCCAAAGTGCTGGGATTAAAGACGTGAGCCACCGCACCCGGCCTATGTTTCTAATTTCTTATGAGTAATAAATAATATGTCAATAATGAGAGAAGTTTTTTTATCATCCCTTTTCAGCGTCTTCTAAGAATGGAAAGTCCAGCTGATTTTTTTTTTTTCAGCTTTCAATGGGCAAGATTCTGCCACGCAGACAGGACCAGCTTTGATCAGAAAGAATCCAGCAACTCTTTCCTAATTTGGCAGGGTCCCATGGCACACATGTGTGCTGCTCATCAGAAAAATGAAATTGTAACTCCTCATCCCCAAGAAATCAGGCCAGCACTGTCTGCAAGGTCTCTTTTCTGGATATTAACCTTTACGTTGTCATTTAGACAGCAAAGTAAAGCTCATCATGTCTTGGGGGGGGAAAACAAGTTGCAGTCTGTAAATATATTAAGAGTTTAACCCCAGACTAAATCCCACTCTGACCACACATGGGATAGTTCTGTAGTTAAGAACACAGGGCTGGGCGTGGTGGCTCATTCCTGTAATCCCAGCACTTTGAGAGGCCAAGGCAGGTGGATCACCTGAGGTCAGAAGTTCGAGACCAGCCTGACCAACATGGAGAAACCCCATCTCTACTAAAAATAAAAAATTAGTTGGTTGTGGTGGCACATGCCTGTAATCCCAGCTACTCGAGAGGCTGAGACAGGAGAATCGCTTGAACCCAGGAGGCAGAGGTTGTGGCGAGCCAAGATCGTGTCATTGCACTTCAGCCTGGCACATAGAAGCTGGTGGGCTCGGGCAAGTTACATATCTGTTCTCTACTTCAGTCTTCTCGTCTATAAAAGTAAGATAGTAATAGTACCTACACCTCATAGGGCTGCTACGAAGATTCAATGAGCTGAGGTAATACATATGTCCACTTAGCCAGAGCTGGTGTTTCTATACTTACAACACGGGGATTGGGATTTGTTTCAATCATGTGTGTGGTAAGACACACACACACAGAAATGATTACCATGAAAGCAGAAGTCTTTACTCACAAATCTCTAGAAATAGCATGATGGCATGCCACGCAAGGCCATGTGGGGCAGCACCAGAATGAAAGGCAGAGGGGAAAGGAGGAAAATGTGGACAAGAGCCTTTGCTGCTATTCCCTGTGAAGGAATGGTCAAGGCAAGGTAAATAGATTAGGACCGGTTAGTTTGAACAATTTCATGGGGCTCTAGGGGATGGGAGCTGTCCCCAGTTTTCCACTACCTAATGATGGGGCAAATTAGGACAGGGGAATAGTAGCCCAGACTGTAAGAACCTGATAAAGTAGATGGCTGTGAGGTACGGGCTCTGAATTGTTGGTCTGCAATATGAAAAGCAGACTCCTGTGAGCAGTGGCTCACCCCTGTAATCCCAGCACTTTAGGGGGCAAACAAGGGCAGATCACCTAAGGTCAAGAGCTCAAGACAAGCCTGGCCAACATGGCAAAATCCCATCTCTACTAAAAATACAAAAAAATTAGCTGGGCATGGTAGTGGGCACCTGTAATTCTAGCTACTCAGGAGGCTGAGGCACAAGAATCACTTGGACCCAGGGGTGGAAGTTGCAATGAGCCAAGATCACGCCACTATATTCCAGCCTGGCTGACAGAGTGAGACTCCATTAAAAAAAAAAAAAAACCACACTGCCAAGAGAGCTGCTACCTATCTCTAGGAATTAGTGGACCCTGGGAGGAGTAGTCTCTCCAATGCCAGCATAACCTCAAGATGTCAAAGCACCAGAAAATATAGAAAACAAAAAATAGGATTAATCTAATACTCTAGCTATATTCCCTTGGGGATCTCATCCAGTATCATGGCTGTAAATACCATCCACACATTGATGACACAGAGACGTGTGTCTGCTGTCCAGACCAGTCCTCTGACTGGAGCTTGCTGATTCCAACTGCCTCTGTGACATCAATTACTCCAATATCCAGCAGGCTCTTCAAACTTAGCCTGACTTTCCCCCAACTCCCACCACCACCAAACCTGTTCTTCCCACAGTCTTCCCCATCTTAGGAAATGGCAACGCTAAACTTGGAGTTTTTTAGGCCATAAATCATGATGTCAGCCTTGACATTTCATCCAAAACAGGGACTAAAATTACCTTCCCATCTGAAAAAAACTGGACAACATATATAAAACAACCGTTTTCAAGACACTGGACAT